ATTAAGGTATCCGCATAAATCATTAAGTAGAGTTCAGTGACTGCGCTTTAGTATCCAATTTAAATCATACCAATATGATTATTCTACACGAATCTACGTGCTTTTATGAGTGCTCTTCAATCATATTTGTCAGAATGACAACCTACTTGACATCGGCGTGCAATTTGAGTTGTCCTGTTATCAATCTTCAATATAAAATTGTACAATGCCCGGAAGTACGATTAATGGAGAGGGCCGACAGCTCGTGCTAAATTTATTTGAGTATTTCCAGGAAGAGATACCCACTTCATGTGGAGTAGTAGATGTGCTCAAGGTTGGCCTACGCCCATGGTACGGAGATTCAAGCTGCTTACTTATTTCATTATGGCGTCGAATTTCGTTGTTTTCAAAGATAAAAGTCGTTGATTCTCAAAGTGTTAGTCTAACCCTCTTCCTGAAAAATTCGCGTCAAGTGACTATCCGCAGCACTTTTCGTTAAGCCGCTAAGAATGGCAGCTGCATAAAGCCGAGAAGTTTAACCTCATTTGTCAAAAATCAACCTTAGCCTTGCGCTGTCATTGTAGTCACACAGTGAGCAGTGCCTCTTGTCGCGAGCTTTGTATTTTGCTACCATATAATAAATATCAAAAACCAGATCGGCGTTTTTAAGTTAAAATTATTCACTACCGAGATTTGCCAGTGCAGCACGCATTCATAATTAGCTGAGTTCAAGGACTTGTTTATGTTTATACATTTATACCTTATTTTCTGCATCAACTCTCACGCCTTTCATTTAATAACAAACACAAATAATTTTTATAGCTTCCGTTGCAAAACTGGTATTATGAAAACAACAGTATTTTATATTTCCTTTAACGGACATGGAACTTCAGCCAACTTATATTACAATAGTCCAAGACAACCAGTCGATATGCAAGTGCTAGAATGAAATAGAAAAGAAAATAGAAATAGTTTATTGGCAAATACATAAGAATCTTTTAACATGTCAAGAAAAGATACAATAAAAAACGATAAAACCCTGCAACAAGTAGAAGACAACAATATATACGTAAATACATAATGATTATGCAGGTTGAAAATAAAACAAGAAACTTTAAAACAATAAAACTATGAAACATTTAAATCAAAGACAAGCAGTGCAAATTTTCAAAACCTATAAACCTTTCGTTCTTGGCGTAGCAGTAACTTTGGTTCAAAATTTCATCAAAACCTGAGCAGTTCTTTTTGACTTAGAGAGTGTCCAAGGAATACCGGACATACAGACAGATAGACAGACGGACCGACAGACCGATAGAAATTAGTCATATAACTTTCCTCGACAGTTGGCGTGGGAAGTACCACACTTCTCATATTTTCTTTCTTGCGATTCATATTGAACGCATTTGCTTCAATAACTGATTTTTTTGTTGTGCAGTCCCAGTTTCTCTGCCTATTTGTTAGTTGGCATGCAAATGTCCAATACACGTGATGAAAAACTTTCGCAATAAAACTTATCTGGAGTGTAAAAATGGCGGGTTGCGTTTCACCGCGACCAGCGATAACAACCTCAGTATCTAATCGTTAATGGAGGAAAACCGAGAAATATTTAATTCATTAGTGTAAACCTTCGTGACAGCATCGATTTCCTACTCTTTTTTTAGATCTAGGTGAAAAGTTGACGGAACGCAAATGGCCGAAGCAAAAAAACCTTGTGCTGGCTAGGGAAACGAATTGCCTTTGGCAAGTAGCTATTTGAAAATATAATAATAATAATAACAATAATAATAATAATAATAATAATGATAATAATAATAGTAATATTAATAATAGTAATAATATAAGTTTATTCACGTATAAACTATTACAATTTATTCATACGCAAATAAACTGAAATAATCCCACAGAAGAATTTAATTCTTGTGCATGGGAAAACATTTTTCATAAGAATTTTTGCTTTGAACATAGTTAAACATAGTTAATACATAAATTTAAAGCCAACATAAAAATAAAGGTGAGTGTACGACCTCAAAAAACCTAATTTCTTTTTATTTGAGTGGGCTTCTGCTATTTCATGTCAATTATTAGATGACAAGAATTTTTTTATTTCAATTTTGAATCTATTTATTTGAAATGGATTTTATATGGCTTGGTAAAAAGTTATAAAATCTAGTGGAGAGGTAACTGAAGCATCTTTGCCCTACATTTTTTGTTGTAAATGGTGTCCTTTTAATATCCTCGAGTTTACTTTTTGTTTCATAATTGTGGTCCAACGAAGTGAGGTTTGTTTTACTTTTGAATAAATTGATTACAACATTGTAAAAAAAAGTTGCCATGTTTTACTAGTAATTTGACTGCTTTTGAACCAACCACTCAACTGTGCGACACGATAGATAGTTGCAATATACCTGTAAGTATGTGGAACGGGCTTGTCAAATGAAAATAACGAAGCGGTACTAACAAGAAAGCAAAGATAGCATGAAATAGTGAAATTATAGGCTGGCTTTCCCAGATGCTATTCTGGAAAGTAGAATTCGCCACATGTTCAGTCCATACTGAATCTTTGTGCCAAATCTCCCTGAACAAACCATACTAGAATTATTGTTGGCAGAATCTCTTGCACCGTAGTTCTTTGCATTCTACCGCGAACGTCAAGAATGTACAAATATTAGTAGAACCGCAATATTGATAAAACCTCCATAAAAGCTCGCATGTGTGTTATTTCCGCAACCCCACAGGGTACTTTTTGCCATTCCGTTTGGAGGACATGCTTGAATCCCAAGAGTCTAGAAACGGAGATAAGCAAGACTCCAACCATCTCAGGTAAGAAATTTAAACAGGTTCATTCAAACCAGCCCTTTTTATCAGCTTTTGCGTGGAATAAATCTTGCAACTGAGTTTTGAAGCCTTGTCAAATTTTTGTACACACGTTTACTTACGTGATAGTACCAAATTCATTATCTGCCGCAATTGTGAATACAATATGGCGGATGTCACAAGATGGCGGTTCATAGTAACCGCTATGATATGGATATAGAATAAAAGTGCTTGGTGAGAGAAAAGCAATAAGCAACGTGACACTATTTTAAATGCAATATAGCGGCCGCCGCAAAATGTCGATTTACATATTCTAACGACATCCCTGCGACATGGGTATCAACTAAAAGGGTTTGATCAGAGAAGCGCAACAAGCAAGGTGATGTTATTGTATATCCAATATGCCAACGCTCCAAGATGGCCTTTGGGCACCCCTTCGATATAGGCATCAAATTAAAGAGATCTATGAGAGCAGCATAACAAGCAACTCCTATATTATGGGTATCAAATGGAAGTGCTTGATCTAGATCCAATATGGCGGCCGCTGCTGAACCGCGATTTATGATTTCCATGGTCATCGCTATGATATGGATATCAAATGAAAAGGCTTAATCTCAACGATAAGCAAATAACGCTATTCTAAATTCCATAGGTCGATCGCCGTAAGATATTCATTATATGATTTATATCTAGCAAAATTGTACAATACAAATAGAGTGAGGATATTAATTGAGACTTGTTATGTAAAATATAAGAAAGTTATATAAATACTGAAAAGTAAAAAATAAATGAACAAAGAACTTGAAAAAACTTGGTAATATTTAAACTATAATGCAGCTCCTCCATCTCAAGTTTAAAAATAAAAACCTGTTACGTTTCGTCTGCAGGATGAATAAAGGGTGTCACACGCTTTTATTTGAAAACTTCAGACGTAGGAGCTTCGTTACCGTTTAAATACTTCCAAATGGAAAACAATATTTTTCAATATTTTACTTCATTTTATGAGCAGTTAAACAAAAGTTTATTATTATCAATGCATTTTTGTCGACTACCTATTGGGGCAACTGATTCGAAAAAACACACATCCGATTCCTAATCTTTATGTGGATATCACAAAAATAGCTTGAGTTATAATAGAGAAATGCCGATTAATTGAATTAAACTACGGCACCCTGTACCTTATTTATGACTGGCATTTTACCAGGTCATAGTAATGGGTTCAATATTATTTTCAGGAGATTAAGCATCCCTCACGAATCACCGTATATAACTAAAATAGTATCTCTCGGATAACATTTTCGCACTAGATTTCAGTTCCAGACGAGAACGAAACAGCTTTTTATTTTTTGCACTTACGCCATAAAGCAGTGAAATTCGCTATGCATGTCAGTGCACGGCATCCTCTTACCCAAAACGATAGAAGGATAATTTGCAAAAAAGCTCCCAGACAATATGCATAATCTCTGGAGAAGATCTTAGCGTGATTCAGTGTAAAAAATATAAAGCTTTCAGTGCCTACGTGCCCATAGTGGAACGGATACACCTTTTTACATCCCCAAAAAAATGTATGTTTCTGTCAGAGCACACACAAATGGGCTAATGGAAGTGCTCCATGAAGAATACGGGACAGTGGAGGCGGGCGATTTTTAGAAAATGAGACAGCACGTTTTTGGTTTTTTAATGACAAAACTGCGTCACTCATTTCCTTCTATCTGTCTGTAACTTTGAAGACACCGGTCTGATTTTGATGAAATTCTGCCAGATACGACTGTGCCAAAGATGAAAGAACTGTATTTTGAAAATTTTTCCATTGGTGGCGGGGCTAGAAACAAACAGACAAAGATAACAAACATCGCTTACGGTCCGTTTTAGTACGCTTCGATTGCTTAATCTTTTCGGAAAATCTATTTTCGGGGTTAAAAATTGGGAGTTGGGGTTGTAGGGGGCTTGAGAGAGTTGTAACACTTCCTTTCCGCAAAAAGTCCAGAAAAGATGGAATGCAATGAAGATTCCAACTTTTCTGCACAATCACAGAAAGGGGGTTACCATTAGCTTCCGGTAGCTCAGTCGGTGGCATGAAGACATCTACAGGCGTGTAGCTGTGTGTCGACCATGGCATGGCTAGAGGATAGAAGAACAAACAGAACACAAAAATTTAACAGATTTTATTTAACAAAAAAAAAAGGCATTTTCATTACATTACAATTTTACAAAAATAACAAAATAAGTTTTACATCTTTGGCGCTGCTATAACGCTATCGACTTATCTTTCGCTGGTCCATTTTTACACGACTGAAGCCAGGATGGCCAGGGGCTTGAAGGGGAGGTCCCAGTTGTGAGGGGTGACCTCACATATAGTGGCTTCGTAACCAGTTGTAGGCGAAGTTAAAGGCGATGGCGCTGCCAAGGCACATGCATGGGTGAAAATATTGGCCAAGGCTAGGCAAAGTGAAAGGGAAAGAGAAAGGGGGTGGCCCCAATCTGAAAAAGAACCGTGTGCATTAGCAACGTGCCCTAATGGCCAAGGCATTTCCAATCTCAGTCTGCCTCAAAAGAGAACCAACGATTTTCTAGGTTAGAATTACATTATATAGTTTGATAAAATCAAACCGAAAATTGGAAATGCCTTTCATAAAATAAAATCATGAAATAGTAAAAAAAAACGTAGAACAAGATGGTGGTCATCAAAAATTTCTCCACATGCTTCTGATATAAAAACATAATCATCGAATATTCATAATCAACGTACTTATAATTTCACTGAACTATGAATATATATACGCGCACAGAGGTAAAATCGATGTGGATCGATTTCCACCTCGATTTGATTAAAGTTATGGCGAATGATCGAAGTAGTCGAAAATGACGTTCGATGGATATTTTAAAATCGTACAAGAAATAAATCACTTACATATCGATTATCTATAAACTACAGGCTGATCCAGAAATAAAACTGTATAGTATTATAAAACTCACCATTTTTGTCCTATACGGACACACATTCTAGAAATCTAGCACATGGTGCTATATAACCTTGTGCTACTGAGAAGAAATTTCTAGCCGTTGTTCGATCGGCGGCTCAGGTGAAAAGAAAGCGCGAGGAAGATCGCAGATCAGGAACTCCGCAAAAAGCGCTCCAAGCGGAAAATTTTCCAAGCAAAAAAAGCTAGAGATGGGATTAATGAAATGATAATCGAGAAGTGATTTAATAAATACGATCGGACGGTGAAACCGTTACACTCGCCCCAACTTAACCAAAAAAAAAAAATCGAAGAAGCATTTAAGAATTTTTTTTTTTTACTAGGAAATTGAAAGTTATCACGGAAGGACAAATGTACAACCATTCGACCAGATAACAAGTAGCAAAAGTAAGGTAGAAACAAAAATGTTAGAAGAGAATTGGAAGAAAAAGGGATAGCCTCAAGTTTACCAAACAAGAGGGATGGTTATAGCACCAACTCGCTGAAAAGTACAGTGAAGTTGCACTTAAAAAAAAACTATCATCATATGATGAAAAACCCAAAACATAAAACATCGTCATACCTAAGACGAGAAAAATAATAAACCAAAAGCTTCAGAAGTAGTCCAAGCACGAATCACAATGGCATCCAAAATGCACGACTGACTACTAAAAACTTCAAAACTAAGTAAGTACCTAAACCATAAGAGGTACTAAAAAAATAATAATCTTGCTCAAAACAATTGCCAGATCATCTCGCAATACTCCAAACCCAAAAAGAATATCATCTACAGTGATATTTTAAACCAATATCCAATATAAAAAAAAGTGCATTACTATTTTCAAAATATGAAAATCAAAAGAAATTAACAAATTCCATTAGGAATTCAAGTCATACAACAAAACAATTTACAAGTACTAAACCAATGAAAACTTGATCATGAAGGTATTTTAATCAAAAAAGATGTTAAGTAAGTGCAGTTCTGATTCCACAAAAAAATTGTCGGGCGCCAGCAGTCTGTAAGACTACAAAATAATTCAAAATAGTTTCAGAGAATTAAAGTATATAAGAGACATTCATGAAATATTGAAGTAAGATTTTCAAAGTCAAAATATAGCTTAAGTTCAATCAATGAACTAGAATTCAAGAGTAAGTTCAATCAAAATATTCGGGTCATGTGACAACATAAGAACCAGACCAAAAAAAAATTTGAAGTACAATATAGAAAAGAGCAAAATAAATTTCCAAAAAAACTAAGTGCAACACAAGTGCAACTGTAAATCTAATAGTGTTAAAATCATAAAGTGAAAGGAAATATTAAAGCTATATGAGCATGATTTTATAAAGGGTTCTCAAAAAAAATTAAAAGTAAGCAAAATATTAAAAGTTTCATGAGTAATAAATGAGAAACGAAGTGAGCATATGTAAAATGCAAAATAGCGAAACGAAAATCACAAGATATTTTATTAAATCATGATACATGAGAGTAATGCCGCAAGCAAAAATTGTATGCAAAAGACTACGATATATGTAGGTGCAAAATTGGAGTTATAAAAAAAATCTAGTGAACAAGAAATAGAAATAAATATGATAGGTAAGAATTCGAATTTTGATTTAAAGCAAAAATATGAGAGAAAGACAACTTTCTAGGGTCACCATAGGTGCATTCCAAAGCCCTAGACAAGAATGTCTATAGTCTATGGAATATTCTCATGTAGATCACTGATATCATCAGCGCACTACACTGAGAATAACCATAACATTGTAAAATGAAAGTTAAGTTCAAATATGAAATATTACAAGATTAGAAAAACTATAATAATTTACCAGTGTAAAGTATGAAAAGGGAATTACTATACTGAATCTATAAGAATTGGCGATTACTTCAAGTCAAGACAGAAATTGAAAGAAATAAGAAGCCGGAAAAAAGATTATGAGAGCAGACTATCAAAACAAATGCAATAATGCAAAAGCAAAATCACCAGATATTTCAAAATCTATAGCGAAACATGAAAGCAATGTCGCAACCAAGCTCAAGACTTAGCAATACGCACAAATGTGCACAAAGGCTGAAAGCATATATGAAAAATCTCAAGAAGGAATTGACAATTACTTCAAATCAAATTGAACTGATTGAATTGAACTGAGACATAAATTACTATATCAAAAGTGAGTTTTACTTATACGCCAGAGGTTTCAAGAGTTTATCAATACGCACAGATTTGCAACTAGGCGGAAAGCATATATGACAAGTCTCAAGAAGAAAATAAAATGCATATGAAGAAAACACTTTCAATTAAAGAAACTGTGGATAGTACAAGACCCTCAAGGCATACGTCGCAACGAATCTATGTAACTATCCAGACTACAAAATACTGTCAAGGTTCAAAACCACTCAAAAATATGTAAACAAACATCAAAAGTTTGAACCAAAAATCAATGTAAGTCTGTGCTCTCGAAGAAAGTTATAATGAACTCAAAAAGAGGATACTATCAATAGACTTCAAAAATAGAAGTACGTAAGTATTTAAAGGAAATTCAGAAAATATACGCATAAAAACATTATAAAATATTATACACAGTATTTGTCACATGATTTAGATCGGGAATGCAATTTAAATTTTGAGTACACTCAGAAAAATGAAATATTCAAAAGATGAAGTATACACATTAAATTGGAATCAGAAAAATAATTATGACTTGTAAATTTTGTAAATGGTGGACTGACGTTCAAAAGGTTGAAAGAACAACGATGACAAATGTCCAAAGTAAACAATCAGCTGCCTCTTACAGCAAATAAGTTTATTCATTATCAAAGGAAATTCTTCTCCGTTCGCATCTGTACTAGGAAATAAATATAGGAAAACCTACTCGCTCCAATGTACAGATCGAAAAACTCGCCCCCTTCGATTGAGCGGATTTTTTTTGTAATTATTATATTTAAAAAAAAATTAAAGTTAAAAACGTGAATACATCAATAAATGACAAGGATCCAAAACACTATAAAAAACTAACAATACAAACAAAAAGTTTCAATACAAAAGCATGAGCAGCCGAATTATTTTATATCTGACATCGATTAAAAAGGTACAGAGACGTTCAAGTCCTGTTAATCCAATGGAAAATCAGACACTAATGTTCTAATTTCCCCCAAAGAATATGCCAGATAAAACTATAAAACATTAAAATTATGAAAACTTATGCTCCAAACAAGAGACAAAATTACTACAATAGTTACTGAGGAACGTATACTATATATTTAAACAACAAGTTGACATTTAATTATCATAAATGAGTATGTGTGTCTTTGTATAGGTATAAATGATTTAGGAGTCACCCCCTCATTGAAAAGTAGCAAAAATATAGTCAAGAAAAACATCATTTGTTTCTTGAAAAAAAAGAAAGTTAAGTATCAAAGTACTATGTCCAAGTGTCAATACTTGAAAAAAAGTAAACCGCCAAAATATACGAAAAATTATGAATATCAATTTCATACAATTCAGACAAATGGATAAATCGCAAAATGATTTACTCCAGATAACTCTAGTCAGTAGATTATTGCCATCAGAATGAAAACAAATGATCAAAAGTTCAAGTACAGTCAAAAATTCAAAAAGGAAAAACATTTGGGGAAGGCAAAAAATAATTTTGAAAGTAAATTTCCTACGTAACAAACATCATGAGAGCTATATCAGTACACCAGAGATCCAACAATTAGGCTATATATGCATACATGAAAAGTCTCAAGAAATCAAAAAACTGCACATGAAGAAATACTTTCAAAAACTAAGAGGTTAGTGATCAAAAATGAAAAGCATATAAGAATATATAAACTATCAACAACAATAGTCACAACCTCAATCAAAAGTTTGATGATATTCGACAAAAACGCTGGGAAACCTAAAGTCCCCAGACTATCAATATTCAACAAAAAAATTATCAAAATATCATCAATCCCAAAAGTACAATGAAAAAAAAGTTATAACTGTCCCCAGCAGTAAATAAAAACTATAGTAGTATGTGATAAAAAAAATTTTTGGCAATGATCTCGCTGACTACTAAACAAGACAATTTAAAAGTTAATAGTATGCCTATGAAATAAACAGGTGGACAAATTTTAATCTATTGATAAAAATTTTAAGCATTAAGCAAAAAGTAAGGATGATTAAAGAATTAGACATTTGAGTACCAAAAGCAATTAAAAATAGAAATGCTGCCAAAAATTGTAAATAATTTTGAAAACTATGTTCTGTCTGCCAATCTTCCACTAGCAAACCACTTGTCGACAAAGCCAAACACCAATCGATGCCCCACGTTGGGCGCCAATTTATGTAACACTTCCTTTCCGCAAAAAGTCCAGAAAAGATGGAATGCAATGAAGATTCCAACTTTTCTGCACAATCACAGAAAGGGGGTTACCATTAGCTTCCGGTAGCTCAGTCGGTGGCATGAAGACATCTACAGGCGTGTAGCTGTGTGTCGACCATGGCATGGCTAGAGGATAGAAGAACAAACAGAACACAAAAATTTAACAGATTTTATTTAACAAAAAAAAAGGCATTTTCATTACATTACAATTTTACAAAAATAACAAAATAAGTTTTACATCTTTGGCGCTGCTATAACGCTATCGACTTATATTTCGCTGGTCCATTTTTACACGACTGAAGCCAGGATGGCCAGGGGCTTGAAGGGGAGGTCCCAGTTGTGAGGGGTGACCTCACATATAGTGGCTTCGTAACCAGTTGTAGGCGAAGTTAAAGGCGATGGCGCTGCCAAGGCACATGCATGGGTGAAAATATTGGCCAAGGCTAGGCAAAGTGAAAGGGAAAGAGAAAGGGGGTGGCCCCAATCTGAAAAAGAACCGTGTGCATTAGCAACGTGCCCTAATGGCCAAGGCATTTCCAATCTCAGTCTGCCTCAAAAGAGAACCAACGATTTTCTAGGTTAGAATTACATTATATAGTTTGATAAAATCAAACCGAAAATTGGAAATGCCTTTCATAAAATAAAATCATGAAATAGCAAAAAAAAACGTAGAACAAGATGGTGGTCATCAAAAATTTCTCCACATGCTTCTGATATAAAAACATAATCATCGAATATTCATAATCAACGTACTTATAATTTCACTGAACTATGAATATATATACGCGCACAGAGGTAAAATCGATGTGGATCGATTTCCACCTCGATTTGATTAAAGTTATGGCGAATGATCGAAGTAGTCGAAAATGACGTTCGATGGATATTTTAAAATCGTACAAGAAATAAATCACTTACATATCGATTATCTATAAACTACAGGCTGATCCAGAAATAAAACTGTATAGTATTATAAAACTCACCATTTTTGTCCTATACGGACACACATTCTAGAAATCTAGCACATGGTGCTATATAACCTTGTGCTACTGAGAAGAAATTTCTAGCCGTTGTTCGATCGGCGGCTCAGGTGAAAAGAAAGCGCGAGGAAGATCGCAGATCAGGAACTCCGCATCAAGCGCTCCAAGCGGAAAATTTTCCAAGCATAAAAGCTAGAGATGGGATTAATGAAATGATAATCGAGAAGTGATTTAATAAATACGATCGGACGGTGAAACCGTTACAGAGTAGACGAGTATATCCATTTTTTATCGTTAGCATATATACCGAGTGTTTCAAATTTGACCCTCACCATGGGGATCTGGGAAACTATAAGATATACGACGTCGCTTAAATGCGAACAGAGTTGCGAATTAACAAGATGCCGCTCAGAAAGTTGAGAAATTCAAAGTACTTCCGGAGAAAGACGAAAAACGCCGAATTGTACCAAATTGGTTTAAATTTTTTCCTGGCTTTATTCGTAGTGGGATTTTAAAATAAATTGCATAGTGACAGCCACTTTTCTCCTCTACATATTTATTTTTCAATATTTTTATTTCTTATTACGGACGACGTATTGGATTTTTGCACAGGTGAATAGAGCTTTTAATTTTGATGCCAAAAATGTGTAATACGTCTACAGTTGACATTGCCATACTATAGTTATTTAAAAAAACATAATTTGTTAGGTAGGCCTTGAAATTATCAGATAGTCATTTGTATCGCATACCAAAATCTGTACAAAAATCCAATATGGCGTATAAGAAAGAATTGGGGCTGGAAGACAAGAGAATGCAATTAGGAGAAAGAGTGGCAATGTTAATGTGAAATTTACTAGAACATTCCACTACAAAGTCATTAAAAAATTAAAACGACTTTGGGAATGTTCATTTTTTCCTGTCTCTCTCCGGAAGTACTTTGAATTTCGAGACTTTCTGAGCGGCGTTTTGTTAATCACCCAAATACCCAAATTTTTCCCTACTATGCGACTTCGTATCTCTTGCCATTTCCGAGATTTCTATGCCGAAGGTCGAATTTAAAACACCCGGTATACAGGGCCAGGGAGAAGGGTGCAGGAACCAGAGAGGATTTTGAATGCGCCACTATTTTTAACACGGCCTTATATAATAAGCTTGGACTGTATCTTTGCATGTATGTATGCAAATATGCATGTAATTATAAAGAGTTTATATTACAGTAGTAGATGGTCGAACAATCAGTCAGAATTAATGACCTCAAAATAAAATTATAATAAGATTTAAGTTATTAACAAACTAATTCAATTCAGAGTAAAAAGCGTGAGGTGAATTTTACTAAATTTTCATAACTCTCCTCTCATAGATGCCAATAGAATGATTGTAACATTTAATGTATGAAGCACCGCACGCTTTTTACTCTGAATATAATTTTATTATAAGGTCATTAATTAGGATTTATTGTTCCACCATCCACTACTGTAACATAAACTCTTTGTAATTAAAAATTATTTTCTACTAGTTGGTTCGGTTAGCTATAGAAGCGTGTTTTTTAGTTTTTTTAAACTATTATTTATTATGAACTCATTACAATGAACGTACATGCGATGAAGTTAATTTTAATAAGCATCTTTGTGTTTCTGCGATACTATGTTATACCCATTCATCAACACATCTTATTCAATTTTAAACATACTATTTTGATATTAATTTAAGTAAGGAGTAGACATTAATATTTTGTGGAAATTGCGTAGGTGATTATAGGGGAAAATGGTCAAACAGTACGCACTTTTTTATCGTCCAAAAAATCTGATTTGTGCTCTAGTCTGAGCATTGCGCTCCTAGCAGAACTCTGGGCCGGACGGTAGAGTCTCCGATCTCCCCTCTCGTCGGGACTGTATACGAGGAGGTGCCAAAAAATAACCGGAATAGCATTGCAGTGGGCGGAGTTTGTGTAGTACACATTTCTGCCCCTAGAGGCGTACAGCGCAACTGATTACCAGTTCAGTGCCCCCTGAGTTGTCAATCTGGCTTGTTTCGTACAGAAACTGTTTTAATGTTGAAAATAGCTTACAAAGATGATGCTATGGGAAAAACTCAGGGGTACGAGTGGTTTGCTCGATTTAAAAATGGCGACATGTCGATTGATGACGTCCATCAAGTGCCCGAATCGACGAAAATTAGGAAAAAATTTGAGAGCTGGTGCTTGTAGACCGTCGACTGACAATCGATCAACTATCCGTAAGTAGTGGGTTGTCCTGGTGTTCGGTTCAGCGAATTTTAACAGAAGATTTGGGAATGAAAAGGGTTGCTGCCGAGTTTGTTCCTCGGGCTCTCACTGACAATCAAAAACAACACCGAGTTGAAACATGTCGTGCTTTGAAACAACGGCTTGAATCTGATCCAAATTTTCTGTCAAGGATCATCACTGGTGATGAGACTTGGTGCTATGGTTATGACCCAGACACGAAACAACAGTCAAGTCAATTGAAGACGCCATCATCACCCCGTCCAAAGAAATGTCGTGAAGTCAAATGAAACATCAAAACAATGCCTGATTTGTCTTTTTGATGTCAAAGGCGCAGTTCGTTCCGAGTTTGTTCCCTCAGGTCACAATGTCAATCAGACGTTTTATTTGGAGGTTTTAAGACGATTGCTAAACAGTGTTCGGCAAAAAAGACCCGATTTGTGGCAGTCAGGAGACTGGTTCTTCCACCACGATAATGCACCTGCGTACACAGCCATCTCTGTTCGACAGTTTCTGGCTAAAAATGGCATGGTTCCGCTGCCTCATGCACCTTATTCGCCCTAAAAACGACGGAAGAGCTGTCAGACATTTCTAAGGAAGCCTTCAAAAAATGTTTAGGGCACCGGTGGGACAAGAGCATTAGTGGTAGTGGACAGTATTTTGAAGGAGATAAGGTTACTTTGTAAGAAAGTTGAAAATAAATAGCTTTTAAGAAATAATTCCGTTTTCTTTGGGTACCCCCTTGTATATATGTCGTAGCCGTATCCTGGAATTGACCATATCATGATATGGACATGATGATATTGGATTTAAAATAACGTTACTTTGCTTATTGCGTTTCTCGCAATAAGTCCGTTTATTAGATACTCATAACACATAACTCGTCATTTTGTAGCATCTGCCATATTGGATTCAAAATGCCGGCGGCTAATTCATTTTGTATTGTCACGCAAACCAAACGCGAATACAAAATTTCAACTAAATTCGTTAAGGTTAACTAGTTCAAAGTTCAGTTCCAAGATTTGTACTAGACATACTAGCAAACAAGCAGGTCAAGTGAGATCAAAGGTTGTAATAAAAAGACCTGCCAAATCGGCCAGCACGTACCATATTAACAACAAATAACCAATATGTCATCCGCTAATCGGCACAACCCCACGTCAACACCATATGTCATCGTAGCGGCGTCTTCCCTTAATCATATCGACGTACGCCGCACCTCCTAATTTAGAATTAGAGATGGCTGCCTATGCCCATAACTATAAATTACTGCCATCATGACCGCCTGCAATTTATAATTAACCAAAACATAACAAATCGCACATATGTTGCAGCCGTACATCATCAGGGTTGTATGTTACGTCTACCACCCGCATTCTGTCTGTGGTTCGTTTACTGGTCCCATGCGATGTCGTTTAGGACCTCGGTCGCGTGAATTTTGGCCCTTCGTTGCATTACTTGGAAGCGATTTATTGAACCTGAACTGCATTCCTATTGTCAACGGCTCAGAAGATTTACCGATATCTGTGGATATCGCGAATGATGTAGGCTTAAGCAGGATTGTTGCGTAACCTGTGGCATGAAATAAAAATAATGATAAAAATAATAATAATAATAATAATAATATGTCAGTCATACCACTAACAACTTTACTGAATGCCTCATACACAGGATACAGAGTCAACAAAAATGATATTCAACCATACGTCGATGACGTCAAACTTATTGCAAAAGACGATGTCGAGCTCATAAAAGAAATAAACGTAGTGAAATTATTTAGCGACGACATTAAGACGCAGTTCGGTCTTAACAAGTGCTCCAAAGTTACGTTTATCGGAGGCAAACTTCTTAGAACTGAAAACGTTATACTAAATGAGGACACATATACAGGGTGTAAGCGTTATTACTGAAAGGGGTAATAGGGGGGTCAAAACAAGTCAAAAAGTTCATATGACCCATGGTCCAAAAGTCAATAGATTTTTGTCTGAATGGCTTTATTGTTAACAACTTTAAGTGCTTTATATCGACCACAATCACCACAATCTTACTAATTTTTATAAGCGTTTTTAAACTGGGTAATTAACAAATAAATGGCATTAAGTTTTTCTAAGTTAAGCCAAAATTTGTAATCAGTAAATAAGTAAGTTTCATTAAATTGAGTATTTAAAGCACACATGACAACAGCGCGCGGTCATCATCACTCTTAAGGTAAGTACTCACTTGGAGACCACGTTGCGCGATTTCCTTTAGGTGGTCTAGAGACCGTCTAGACTTGAGACATAGACATGGTGTAGAGACATCGATCTTTGCCTCGTCTAGCGTCCACACTGTGATGTGAATTTTTCTCATCTTCTCATCTTCGCCAACCACCATGGCGGACCTTGCTTTGTGCGCAATGAGTACATGTTTAGT